CCATCGTTTTAGTACCAGCCAACGGCGACCTAATGCACAGCGGGAGGAACCATTGCCCTGTCCTGCACAACTATCACAATTAGTGCTGTGCTTGCACCCCTTGCAGCATGCTGACAATCCATCGCATTGAGGACCTTCCTCTTGCTTGCTGGCCCTCAACTTGACCGAGCTTCACTACCAGGGACTAGACCCTCCTGATGATGTGTCCCAAGTACCTGAGAGGAAGTTTGGCCATTCTTGCTTCTCACGAACATTCTGGCCATACTTCTTCCAAGACAGATTTGTTTGTCCTTCTGGCAGTCCATTCTTCACCCAGACCACACTTCAGAGCCATCAGTTCTTTGGTCTTCTTTTCCACTGTCCAGCGGGCACATGCGCAGGAGGAGATGGAAACTATCCTGGCTGGAGTCCCGTTCCCCTTAGTTCTCAGCATGACAGCCTCATTTTGTACCACTTTACAGAGGTCTTCTGCAGCAACACGGCGTTTGCTTTTCTCCATGGCTGCTTCAATGGGCATCGAAAAGGAGAAAGGCCTTCCAGGAGGATGATGAGGCACTAGGAATGTTTCTGTCTGTTAGACATAGGGTCCCCCAAATTGGAACGGACTCCACAGCATCTAACAACAATAACAACATGATACAGGTAGGGGCCCTGGTGGTTAACTTCATGGTTGGCAGTTCAAACTGACCTAGAAATTCTGCGGGAGGAAGATTAGCGATCTGCTCTCCTAAAGAATACACCCAGAAAACCTCATGGGACAGTGTTCCACTGCGCCGCATGGGGCTATCATGCATTGAAATCAACACCACAGTGCACAGCACGATACTACAAGTTGTTTCAAAAGGGTTGCACATATACTTCCTCAAAAACCAAATCAACTAAAAACATTTCAGAATTTGTCCACAATCCCCCCCCCAATATTTTGCCCAATATGGAGGGCTGAGTTGTCAAATTATGTATTTATTAAGTTGCTTAATTATTCTCTTTCCCTCCCCTCCCTACTATGTGCTGATGTATCTGGAGAAATAACACTGGATCCACTTGTTTTATTTGGTTTCTGTTTGAGATTTCCCCGCTTCCCACCTTGCATCTGTTCTTAGGTGCTATCTGGTTGCCTCCAACCCATATTGTCTTTGGACAATAGAATGAAGCATTCATGGTCCTGTGCCAGCCCCACAATTGTCCCCATGACTAGGCCCATTGATGCCGCCACTATGTCAAGCCATCTTGTTGAGGACCTTCTTCTTTTTCCCTGCCTTTATATGATGTCCTCTTCCAGGGACTGTTTCCTCCTGACAATACGGCCAAAGTATGTAAGATGAAGTCTTGCCATCCTTGACTCTAAGGAGCACTTCTTCCAAGACAGATCAGTTTGTCCTTTGAGCAGTCCATGGTACTTTCATTATTCTTCTCCAGCTCCACAACTCAAATGCATTGCGTCTTCTTTGGTCTTCCTTATTCAGTGTCCAATTTTCACATGCATAGGATGCAATGGAGACTACCGTAGCATGGGCCAGGCCCATCTTAGTCCTCAAAGTAACATCTTTGCTTTTCAGTACTCTAGAGAACTCTTCTGCATCAGATTTACCTAAATCAATGCATCTTTTGATCTCTTGCCTGCTACTTCCATGAGCATTGGTTGTGGATCGAAGCAAGACAAAATCCTTGACAACGTCAACCTTTCCTCCATTTATCATGATGTTAACTACTGATCTAGTTGTGAGGATTTTGGTCTTCCTTATATTGATTTGTAATCCACACTCCAGGCTATAATCCTTACTCTTCATCAGCGAGTGCTTCAATTCCCTCTCACTTTAAGTAAGCAAGATTGTGTCATCTGCATATCGCAAGTTGTTAATAAGACTTCTTCTGATCTGGATGCAACATTCTTCTTTATATAATCCAGCTTCCCGAATGATTTGCTAAGCATACAGATGGAACAAGTAGGGTGAGAGGATACAACCATGACACACACCTTTCCTGATTTTAAACCACGCAGTATTTTCTTGGTCTGTTCGCTCAACTGCCTCTTTATCTATGTACAAGTTCCACATGAGCACAAGGAGCTGTCCTTGAGTTCTCATTCTTCCCAAGGCTGTCCACAGGTTATTAGGGGCCACACAGTTGAATGCCCCTTAAGCAAGTGCACTTTACTTGTGCTAATTTCATTTTTTGAATACTTAAAATATTATAGCCTGACTGCAAAGGTAACAATATGTAAGTCAATAGTCAGAGAACATCACTCCCTTTATATTCCTTCTCCATTCTTTTGATTCCTCATCCCTTACCTTGGAGCTAACCTTTTTTTTTCAGTTTATCAAGATCATTAATTAATTAATTTTATTAGGGGCTCATACAACTTTTATCACAATCCATACATACATCAATTGTGTAAAGCACATTTGTACATTCATTGCCCTCATCATTCCAAAACATTTGCTCTCCACCTAAGCCCCTGGCATCATCTCCTCATTTTCCCCTCCCTCCCGCTCCCCACTCCCTCATGAACCCTTGATAATTTATAAATTATTATTTTGTCATATCTTGACCTGTCCGACATCTCCCTTCACCCACTTTTATGTTGTCCATCCCCCAGGGAGGAGGTCACATGTAGATCCATGTAATCGGTTCCCCCTTTCCAACCCACTCTCCCTCTGCCCTCCCAGTATCCCCATTCACACCACTGGTCCTGAAGGGATCATCCACCCTGGATTCCCTGTGTTTCTAGTTCCTATCTGTACCAGTGTACATCCTCTGCTCTAGTCAGACTTGCAAGGTAGAATTGAGATCATGATAGTGAGGGGGTGGGGAGTGGGAAGCATTTAGGAACTAGAGGAAAGTTGTATGCTTCATCATTGCTATATCGCACCTTGACTGGCTCGTCTCCTCCCCACTACCCTTCTGTAAGGGGATGTCCAGTGGCCTACAAATGGGCTTTGGGTCTCCACTCCACACTCCCCACCTCATTCACTATGGTAAGATTTTTTTTGTTGTGATGATGCCTTATACCTGATCCCTTCGACACCTTATGATCGCGTAGGCAACAATTTTATTTTTATCTTGGTTTATCCTTCCTGCACTTCTTATGGAAAGGCAAACATCTGTATCGATAATTTCTTACATGTTCTTCTTTGCTATACGAAAGGCCACATACTAGGACATTCTTTTGCATGTTGCTGTCTTCACTTCGTGTCTCCTGGAAACCACGTTATATAGTTTATAGAATATTCCTCACTCTTGTCTACATTTCTTTTATGTATAAATAACTGGATAGTGTGCTTGACATCATTGGCATACGTGCTAGAGTTTATCCCACCAGTGTTGGACATATAGGGAGTTTCCAATATTTTTCTACTTCATATAATTTTGCTATGGGTAATTTTGTACATATGTATTTTCATGTTAATAGAAGTGCATTTTAGTGCAAATCCATAGAAGTAGAATATCATTGTCATAAAGAATGTGTGCGATTGTAGTTTGGTGAGATACTGCCAATTTTCCCTGCATAGATGTCATGCCGCTGTGCATTCCAGCCAGCACTGCATTCGGGTGTCTGATTCCTCACAGCCTTGCCAATGGAAGGAAGAAAACTTGTCACATGTTTGCTTTGTTGTCCATATGATGGCTAAGAAATGATATCCCAGTGCAGTTTAATTGGTTTAATTTCTATTTCTCTTATTACATACAATCAAAGATCTTACCATATGCTTAATGACCATTTTTATATTTTGGGGGGAATATTTGTTTTTTTCTATAGGATTTTTATTCTTCAGTATTAAAATATTATTTGAATATTAATGATAATAACCCTTTCATTGTGAAAGATATGTTGTATGAATGTTCTCCTCATTCATTGTCTTTTAACTTGACATTTGGTGTTCATTTTTTTTGGCCATTCAAAATTAATTTATTTTTTGTTAGCCAAATTTACCAATGTTTTCTTTCTTTTTTTAAAGATCATTTTATTGGGAGCTCTTACAGCTCTTATAACAATCCATATATTAATTGTATCGAGTATATTTTTTCATATGTGGCCATCATCATTTCCTAAACATTTACTTTCTATTTGAGCCCTTGGTATCAGCTCCTCTTTTTCCCCTCTTCTCCCCTCTCACACTGATGACCCCTTGATAAATTATAAATTATTCTTATTTTCATATCTTACACCAACCACTGTCTCCTTTTACCCACATTTCTGTTGTTCATCCCCTTGGGATGGGAGATGGTGGTGTTATAAATCCATCATTGTGATCGGGTTTCCCTTCCTCCCCTTCTTCCCCCTACCCTCCCGGTATCACTACTCCCATTTCTGTTTCCAAGGGGCTTATCTGACCTGGATTCCGTGTGTCATGAGCTCTTATGTGTACCAGTGTACATGCTCTGGTTCAGTCAGAACTGAAAGGCAGGACTGGGGTCATGATAGTGGGGGCTGAGGAACCTCAAAGAATCAGAGGAATGTTGTGTGTTTCATCAGTGCTATACTGTGCCCTGGTTGATTTATCTCTTCCTTGTGACCCTTCTGTGAGGGGATGTTCAATTGTCTACAGATGGGTTTGGGGTCTCTGCCCTGATCCCCCTCATTCTCAACAGTATGAATTTTTTTTTTGGTGTGGGGGGGTCTTCTGATGCCTGTTACCTGATCACATCAATACCTCTTGATTTCACAGGTTGGTGTGCTTCTTCTGTGGGTTTGTTGCTTCTCTGCTAGATGGCAGCTTGTTTAACTTCAAGCCTTTAAGACCCCTGATAAGATATCTTTTGATAGCCAGGCACCATCAGCTTTCTTCACCACATTTACTTGTGCACCCATTTTGTCTTCAGTGTCAGGAGGGTGAGCATCACAGAATGCTAGGTTGCTAGAGAAAAGTGGTCTTGCATTGAGTCAGGGCTTGAGCAGAAGCCCAAAGGTCTGTTCACTTCCTCAATGTATTGCAATATAAATAAATAAATAAATAAATACATACATACATATATATATATATATATTTTTTTTTTTCAGAGTTCAGTCTGGTTTATTGAGCACATCACAAAAGAGGGTTTAGTCAAAAAGACCAAAGCCCATGTCATAGTCAGATTCTTCAGACTCTTCCTTCTTGGCTTCCACTTTCTTCTCCTCAGCTGGGGCAGCAGCGGTGGAGGGTGCAGGTCCTCAGGCAGGTGCGGCACCAGCAGCTGGGGCAGGGCCACCAGCCCCTACATTACAGATGAGGCTCCCAATGTTGACGTTGGCCAGGGCCTTGGCAAACAGGCCGGGCCAGAAGGGCTCCACGTTGACGCCGGGGGCCTTAATGAGGGCGTTGATCTTGTCCTCCGTGACGGTCACCTCGTCGTCGTGCAGGATAAGGGCCGAGTAGATGCAGGCGAGCTCGGAGATGGAGGCCATGGCGCAGGAGTCCTGGGCTGGCGGCTGCCGGGCGCGGTGCTAGTCGTCGGATGAAGTGAGGGCCTCACCCCAACGCGGCCTTAGCTTCCTCGGAAGAACCGAGCACCTTAACGGCAGCTGAGGAAAGAGCTAAATATATTTAGATAGGCTAATCCCTCTATTTTTATGAATGAACATATTTACCTAAGTAAATGTTTTCTTTTTTTCCTATGAAATGTAAGTCATAGCCCGAAAGTATTTCTCTACACTCATATTATGTAGTAATCCATCCTTTCCCATTCCCACATACCTAGTACTTTTATATTGTTTACTTTTAGAGCTCTGGTCCATTTGTAATTTAATCTTGTCTATTGTATGAAGGATCTAATTTTACCTCTTCTATAGAGTTACCAAATTGTCTTCAACACAATTTGTTAAGAAGAAAGATTATCTTTACTTCAGTTTGGGGGGATTCTGTCTTTGTTACATACTACATTTGTATATATGGTGAGTTTATTTAATAGAAAATTTTAACAAACTTTTGCCAACCATGTGTGTGCTGAGATGATGGCTTAAAATTTAGAATATCTCATATTCCAACACTTCTCTGTGAGCCTTCATCAACTGTGCAAGGGTAGTCTGCTAGAGGCTAGGGACAGAGCAAAAGAGCTTTAGAGAGACACCACCCAACCCCAAGACATATGACTCATTCCCTAAGGGCAAGGGAGTAGCACAATGAAGCCACAGATGAGCTCTGTCTGAATTCCTAACTCATGGTTTCATGAGCAATAAAATAACTGGCTTAATATGCAGCAAGAGATAGTTGATACATTACTGTGTTCAACATTGAACTGTAAGTCCCGATCAGTGTAATAAGCAAGGAAAATGAATAAATGGCATATGTAATGGAAAAAAACCAAACTTTTAGAAAGTTTGCAGATGAGTAATTGTGTAGACAGGGGCTTCAAAAAGTCCACGAGAACCTGGAGTTGAAAGATAATGGGATTTTTCCAAAAACATTTTGAAGTTCTCTCATTTGTAAAAATGCATATGGGAATTAGGATAGGAAAAAAAAAACCTAACTAACACTGCTAAGTATATTTAGCCTGGTTTCACAGATAATGCTAATCTATAAAGATCTACTGTAATTTTATACACTAGTTTTGGTTTTTTTTAAAGCAAAATATTTATAATGGTATTAAAAATAAATCTAACAAAATGTAAAATATCTGCATTAAAAATAGCAAAACATTGCTAATAGAAACCAAAAAAGACATCATTTAAAATAGAGTGAGGCTGTGCTCAATGATGAGAAAACTCAGTGTTGTCCAAATGTCAGGCATCCCCAAATTAATCTTAAATACCAGTATGTGATTTAAATTTTTTATGATCATGCAAATAATCTAGAATAACTACAACAATTTTTTTAAAGAAAAAATTTGGAGATATTATACAGTACCTAGAAATCTGCAGTAATCAAGACAGTGTAATATTGGTCTAAAGATGGCAACAAATGTACAAATGTGCTTGACACAATGGATGGATGGATGGATTATGATAAGAGTTGTACGAGCCCCTGATAAAATGATTAAAAAAAAAAAGAAAAAAGATGTACTTTTTGTTACATGAAGCATGGCACAGTACAGAATTGCAACCACGAATATGGTTGATTGATATGTTAGACAGGGTTCTCTAGAGAAACAAAGCCAGGACACTAATAATTTTATGTATATTTATACAGATAGATAACATAAGAAATAAACTGTTAATTGATATATAAAGCAGAACAAATGGCTCAGTGCAACTCACTTCCATGAAACAGGTAATACAATGGCAGTCCTTCATGTCTTGAGGCTGCTGGGTAGTCCTCTGTAGAACAATTCAGGGTATCTACCCACAGGCAGCAAACAGCAAGCAGGTCACCAACAGTCAGGCAGATGACAGGGCCCAAAAGTCCCCAGTTCAAGAGATGTACCTTCCAGTAGCGTGGTGAAGCAAGACTTGAAGGAACCTCCAGTTACAGTGACACAGTCAACGGGTTAGGTGTCCCACAGGTAGTGTAGCTTGCAAACTGAGGCATGGAACAAGCAAGGCAGCCACACACTGGTCTGATGATCAAGAGCAAGAGAGAGAGGCGAGGCTCGCTGAGCCATTTATCTCTCCGCCCTTCAACTCATCTCACATGGTTCATTGACCATGTTGGCACAACAAATCTACCTATCACAGATGCATTTGAATTATTGTGTTGGTGGAAAATATTGAACGTTTCATAGACTTCCAGAAGAACGACCAAATATATCTGGGCAGGAAGGACACCCTCCTTTGAAGCAAGGATGGAGAGGCCACTTCTCATGGACTTGCGATACGTTGTTGGGAGAAACCGGCGCCTGGGAAAGGGCGTCGTGTTTTTCATAAAGCAGAGGGTCAGGGAAAAAGAGGAAGGCTCACAAGTGACACAGGGGCTGCAAGGATTATGTGACCGCATCAGACCAGGCAGTGTTTCATTCTGTTGTACACAGAATCATTGGGAACCGGAACAGACTTAGGGGGGCACCTAACAATTTACATTTGGGGGAGTAGGGACAGGGTGTAAAACTACCAGAGCATCTTCTTTCCATTTATCTCTCTGCCCTTCAGTTAATCCCACACGTGTTCATTGGCCATGTTGGCACAATAAGCCAACTATCACAACTGATGTCCCAGGGTCTTAAGTTTATTCAATGAAGACAGAAGTCTTCTCAAACAAATATTGTTGGGACAACTGAGATCACATCTCATTGCCATCAGGTTGGTTCTGATCCATAACAACCCTATTCACACGGAAAGAAAAGGAACTCAAGCGTACTTCAAACTGTACTCCCTATATTAACATTAATTTGGGATAGATCGCCAATTGAAATATAACAGTTATAGCAATCAAGTTTCTAGAAAAGCAACAACAAACAAAAGATCAGCATATGACTAGATATAGGCAAAGATAGCTTATTCATTGGTACTGAGTTAATTTAGACTCAACGTGACCCTATTGTGTGTAGTAGGGCTGCCTGTGAGGGTTTCTGAGAGTGTAATCTTTTGCGGAGCAGACTTCCATAGTTTCTCTGATGGAGTGGCTGGCAGGGTCAAGCTGTACACCTGTTAGTTAGCAGTCAAGTACTGAACAAACTGCATTACCAGGTTTCCAAAGAGATGTCAGAACATATAATTAAAGGAAAAGGATACATCTAGCTATATAAAAGTGGAAAGGACAACATTTAAAAATGAATAGGCAAGCCAAATGTAGGAAAATATATTTGAAACACACACACATATTTTTCCCAAAAAGTTTGTGGGAAAAATCCAGTATCATTTAATCCTATCTTTCTATGAATTTGAAAGCCCCTTGTCTATAAGCAGTTCTTAACAACACAAAACAACGTTAGCAAAAATCTTGAACAGACAAAAAATACATATGCGTGTCCAAAATGCACAATAAAAAAGTTAGTCATTTCTTTTTGTTTGTTTGTTTGTTTGTTTTTTAACATTTTATTAGGGGCTCATACAACTGTTATCCCAATCCATACACACATCAATTGTGTAAAGCACATTTGTACATTGTTTCTCAAAACAT